ACCATCAAACAAAAACACAACCGCCACCACCATCATCACTTACTTCCACCACCACCATCATCACTTACCACCACCACCACCACTATCAAACAAAATACAACTACAACAACCACCACAGCCGTCACCACCATCCCCATCTTATTTCTTTTTAATGTAGATAATTTCACACCCCCATCGACACAATTTACATCCCTTTAGGAGGCCGGCTTCCGACCGTGTCTGCCAAATCTTAATCTACACCACCACTACCATAACCACCAGTTAGACCATCACCACCACGATAACCACCAGATAGACCATCACCAATCACTCACTTTGTCTTGTCCACCTTATCCCTGAGACTCTGAAGCACCCTCATGGCCATGTTCCTGATCCGGGTCATGATATTGTCGAAGTACATTTCCGAGTCTATCTCCAGCTGTTCGCGGTGATTGGGAAAAAGAAAAAAAGTCAGTCGATCAATTTCGAGCCCATATTTAATCTCTTAGTACCGGTACTGTACAATATCTTTAGTTGTTTGAGGGGGTTTTTGCACACGAAACTTGATTTCACAATTTTTTGCAGTTTTTAAATAAATTCGTGAAATCAAATTGCTTCAAAATGTTAAAAAGAGCTTTATCGCATTGGAACGTTTGACATTTATCGAATCATGAGTTCAAAGTGTTAGCGAAACACAAAATTGACTAAACGGGGGATGTGGGGGGGCACGAGAAAAAAAACTACAACAAAAACCAACCAAATAATAATTCAAGCTTGTTGGATATTTTTTTTTCATTGAAAGCAAGGCAAATAAATAAGCATTCAGGTGATATCAATAACCCCACATGCCCAAAAATTGACGAGTGCCTGATTCCACCACGTTGTGCCACATATATTCATTTCAAGCCCGCTCACCTCTGAATACTCCTCGTTGAGTGCTGTGTCATTGAGAATGTATTCTGGGTAACCAATCTTTTCAGCCATCATGCTGGCCTGTGGAATATCACATAACGTAATGACTGCAAAAAGTAGTACCTGTATTTCATAATATATGTCTATCTATTTATCCATCCATCCATCCAACCATCCATCCATCCATCCTTCCATCCATCCATCCATCCATCCATCCATCCATCCATCCAT